TTGTTTGGATCCATCGATGATACGCGGTGTTCTCATTGACGTGAGCAAATCCAGGACCATCAAATCCTGACGAGCTTTGCTGCGATGTAGCAAGGATGTCAGCAGCATGAGCAACCGATAATGTACGGGAATTCCGCTGTATGTTGCTCTGTGAATGTAAATCATGCTGAAGAATGTTCATACTTACCTCTTCACGTACTTCCTCGTTGGCATCGTCAGCGATGCTTCTGCCGACATCTCCTCTAGCGTTGGCCACATTGATCGGCTGGCTCGATTCCGGTCTATCAATATTCCGGACCACATTCCGGCACCTAGAAAAATGTATTGACGTTATGTTATGTTTATCTTTGCTGAATTTTTGGTTACAAACCGTGGTTCGACAAATTGACAGAAACCCAGTATTGAATCGAGAACATGGGAAATTCGAACATTTAAAAGTTAGCTTTCAGCATTCAATTATTAAATTATAACCTTTAAGTTGAGCTTCACACTGCAGAACTAAAATTTTAATCCTGCAATGTTGACTTCTAACATTGAACGTTGAAATTTTGATCTTCCAATGTCGACATTGAAGCTGTGAAAATCGAATTTTCCCTTGCTCTTTCATGCTGTACCAGAAAGAGGAACAGGAAAATAGAAAATGTTTTTGGTATTGAACTATACGTGTTATGCACTTCACGCACGCTAATTAAAGTGCGTGGTTTTTATGCTTCTCTTATGCAAATTAATTGCCTTAATTACGAATGTCAAAATGTGACCCCTGGCGGACCCAGCTGTTACGAGTGAGTACAGAGTTGGGTAAGAGTTTCAGTTACAATCTGTAAACGGACGTCCCTCATATCTCTTAAGGTCCCTCAGGGTTGAAAAGTCCGCGTGGAAGCGGACAGTGCAAACGGTGAACTACTTCGGGCGTTAATATTTTTTTTAACAGCAAGACAGGCACTCTGAACTCTAGACTATTTTCAGAGTTCACAGTTGACTTTGGGGAAAATGAACGGATACCCTCAACTGTGAACCATTTTCAGGGTTAAGAGTTGATATCAGAAGGGGTTAGAGCGGTACTCTGAACTCTGAAAATAGTTTACGGTTGAAAGTATTCGTTCATCTTCCCTAATGTCAACTCTGAAATCCGAAAGTAGACCGAAATCTTACTCAACTATCAACTCACTATGAACTGCTGGAAATCCGTAAGAAATGAACTCTTAACTGGGGCCGTCAGAGGATGCAGGCGTACACTGAATTTACACAAACATCCGTTCCGTTCGGTGCCTGCACGACCATCAGAAACAATCTCTAACGGATTAATCAATAGATATTATCCATTATAACATTCTCAAGTACCGCAATAAGTGTTGGTTTCTGCACGATGAAAAAAAAAATTTTTAAATAAAACATGATAGGTAGTCACCTGCCGAACAAGATTGCCTCCCATACACGGTGATCACCGAGTGATACACCTCGTTATCCCTTCTAGTAACAATGATCGTAATAATTTTCATTTCATTCTAGAGACATATCGGTGACAATTTTGGGGTTCGATAGGTGGGTTATCAAGATGCATCATACACAGTAATATTTTGTTATGGATGCTCTCCAAAAAAAAAATTACGGAACATTTTGGAGAAATTATTTGTCGAAGTGACACATTGACAGTCGTCTATTGACAAATTATTTGAAAAAAAATCGTATCGAGTTACTCATTGCAATGAGCGAGTATTTCTCAAAAGGATTCAACAGAAATAAACACGAATCATGTTTAGAACAACTCACTTATTGAAGTAAGT